ATGGAGTCTACAAAGAAAAAAATGGTTCTGTAGAACATATGTGCAGGATAGGAATAAAGACACAGACGTGGAGAGTGGACTTGAGGACACGGGGAGGGGTAGGGGTGGGCTGGGACAAGGTGAGAGTGTGGCATGGACATACTCTACCACATGTAGAATGGATGGCTGGTGGGAAGCAGCCTGCATAGCACAGAGAGATTAGCTCGGTGCTTTGTGACCATGTAGAGAGGTGGGATAGGGAGGGTGGGAGGGAGACGCAAGAGGGAATGGATATGGGGATATGTGTATACATATAGCTGATTCACTTTGTTATACAGTAGAAGCTAACGCACCACTGTAGAGCAATTATAGTCCAATAAAGATGTTGGGGGAAAAAAATCAGTTTCCTTTAAGAATGCCCTTCATTGAATCAGTACAAGTTATTAATTTTATTAAATTTCAACTCTTGATTATACATCTTGTGAATATTCTCTGGAATGAAATGGGAAGAGTGGATGAAATAATTCTGCCTACTAAAGTCCCACGGTTCTCTCGAGGTAAAATATCATTTCCTGGTTTCTTCTAAATATCCAAGTGGAGATGTCAGGTTAGCAGTTAGTTATAACTGACTCTTCGCTGGAGTACTCACATATTTGCACTTATTTGAACATGCATGAATTCTAATTCATACATGAAATTATCACATTTCTTTCATTTTGTATATAGAGAAAATCACATTCGGATTTGGTATCTTGCAGAAGTTACAAACTTAAAAATACATTTGCAGAGGTATCTCAATTATCTTGACCTTTCAGCCTTGGAGACTACATCTTGTCGCATGGAGAGCACTAGGAAAAAACTACTTGATATAAATAGTTAAAGGGCAGTACTCCTGTTTTTAATCCCTCCGCCCCTTGTTCTTAAAGTCCTGACTAGTCCAAGGAGAAATCAGAAACTATACCAGAATCAGAACCTTGATCCTTGTGCTGTATATGTGGATTTACTTAGGAAAAGAGATTTTAAAACATCAAATTTGCCAAGTGCTGTCAGCGGCACTATTAGGCTCAGATTTGATTTCTGTATAATCAGACTGCACTAAATTTTTGCTTTCAATCCCTGTTGGATGGCTGTTACAGTAAAGTATAATGCTCTGTAATAGAAAAACATAAAAGCATTTGTCTCATAAACATGTTGTACTTGATCCTATAAAGCAGTGGTTGCTAAGGGAACTATTTGCCAAGAAGAAAAAGTATTGATTAGGATGGGGGGGCATAGAATTGAAAGGGTTTCCTCTCAAAAAAGAAAATAAGAGCATGTAAGGCATTTTTGGCTTTAGAGTCAGATGCCTCCTGAGTGGACAGGGTGGCCGTGACATTTCCTGAGGGGGTGGCCAGGCTTACCTGTGCACGATCAGGTGCAGCCTGTCGCTGTTGCCAAGAGGCTTCTGCTGAGAACAGTAAGGAGCTGGAGAGGGCATTAAGGGAAGTTGCCTTTTAATTCCGATTCCACACTCAGGGGATATGGTCTTCCTGTGGGGAGGCAGAGAAAAACATCTGGCAGTGAAAACAAATTGGCCCTGAGATGGACTTCTTGGAGGGGCTATTGATGCCAGCCAGCTGATAAGAGGCTGAAGTCTAGAGCTGAACTTGGAAAGAGACTAATGACAGTTGATGCCTAGAGAGAAAGGTACCAAAGTACGTCTGAGCATTTCTTCAAAATGCCTGCCTCATTAATGCTTCACTAATAAGGTTTTTGAATAAGATTTTTATTATGTAAACATGTTCATTATAATGAAACATGTTTTCCTTGTTATACATCTATGCATTTGTTTACAAGACATTTTCTGTTTTAAAAAAAAAAAGGGCTTCCCTAGTGGCGCAGTGGTTGAGAGTCCGCCTGCTGATGCAGGGGACACGGGTTCATGCCCCGGTCTGGGAAGATCCCACATGCCGCGGAGCAGCTGGGCCCGTGAGCCATGGCCGCTGAGCCTGCGCGTCCGGAGCCTGTGCTCCGCAACGGGAGAGGCCACAACAGTGAGAGGCCCGCGTACCACAAAAA